CCAACCAGGACATCCTGAGGCCACCGGAGATATGACGCAGCCAAAGACAGAGGACAGATCCATCGAAAGGAGATGTCCCAAAGAGGGAGAGGAAGCTGTGACTCGAGGAGACACCAAGACTTTAACTCCTCAAGCTGAGACCTGGGGGAAACAACAAGGACTAACCAAAAAAAGATACTTACGTTTCATGACTGTATTACATGTTAATTCTTGTCAATGCAGAATCCAGATGTTGTTTGTCGAGGAGAATGAAAGACATACCTGCGCTAAGAGACAGTCTGACATTGTTTTGCCATGCCAAGGACTGTTTATAAAACTTTATGTGAGCTGGGCGGTGGTGGCGAACGCCTTTGATCCCAGCACTCGGGAGGCAGAGGCAGGCGGATCTCTGTGAGTTCGAGGCCAGCCTGGTCTACAAAGTGAGTACCAGGAAAGGCGCAAAGCTACACAAAGAAACCCTGTCTCGAAAAAAAAAAAAACTTTATGTGGACTAGGCCATACTACACCCATTTTGCTCACAGCAAAAATAGTAGCAGAAGCCGGGCGGTGGTGGCACACGCCTTTAATCCCAGCACTCGGGAGGCAGAGCCAGGCGGATCTCTGGGAGTTCGAGGCCAGCCTGGGCTACCAAGTGAGTCCCAGGAAAGGCGCAAAGCTACACAGAGAAACCCTGTCTCGAAAAAACTAAAAAAAAAAAAAAAAAAAAAAAATAGTAGCAGAAATTAATCAAGAGATGGTTGAATTGAGGATGGCTTTCATCTTTCCTCATCCACTGTTAGCTATTCTTATATTTCTCTTATGCTTACCTCTATTAATTAGGGTAGCTGTAGAGGCAATGTATTCAACCTTGTCCTCTTCTACAGCCACTATTTTTTTCTTTAAAAAAAAATTAGAAGGGAGCAGATGTTGGGCGCACAGTGGTCCTTGTACTCACAGAGAAGCACTAAGAGAACCAGGAATGTTAATCATTTATCTCAATGGAGGAGATAAAAAAAATCAAATACCTTCGTTCCATCCAGAAAGCTGAGAGTGGATTTTGTTAATGACCTGGTGACCTTTTTGTTATCTGTGGCAGAACACCTCACCCTAATTTCCCAGGATGGTTATTCCAGACTCTTCCCTCCCTAGACCATTACCCATCCTTAGGGAGATGTCACATGTACTTTATATCCCGCTGACCTCTATGCTATGGGTCAGAAACTACACTAGATTCTAGGTCTTTTAGCCATAGAGCCCACCCTCCTGGTCACATGTACTTTGTAAAAGACTTTCTATGTAGTCACACCTTAAGCTTTATTGTGTACCTGGAATTGGTCTGATTGTTGCCTGAAAGCCTTTTCCCAAATTGTCCTGTGTTTTAAATCTGCTGACAGTGAACTGCCTGGCATTAGACTCCCCGAAGTCTGATCCAGGTTGACAAAGTCAATCTGAACTGTATTGTCATTCTTGTCTCTTTGCAGACCACTGCCTACATTGACACCTGCAGGGTCCCCCCTCACCACCACCAACCCAGCTTTAAACACCTCCATGCCTGCAGGCGGCTCCTGATAAGGCCTGCAGTTCTGAGCCTTACTCTAAAGCATGTGATTCCCCACATCTTTTCTTTTTTCTTTTTCTTTTGTTTTTCGAGACAGGGTTTCTCTGTGTAACTTTGGAGCCTGTCCTGGAACTCACTCTGTAGACCAGGCTGGCCTCAAACTCACAGAGATCCGCCTGCCTCTGCCTCCCGAGTGCTGGGATCAAAGGCGTGCACCACCACTGCCCAGCGATTCCCCTTATCTTATCCCAGGAAGAAAAACCTGTTGAAGAGCATCTATGAATTACAGGTGAGCAGAAGAAATCAGTGTAGCCTGGGGATGCAGCTAAGTGATTAGGTGCTTGCTGAGCATGTATCAAGGCCTAGAACCAAGGTTCAACCCCACTACTGCAAAAAAATGGGAGGCAAGGGAAGGAGAGATCAGACTTGTTAAAATGATAAGACTTTATTTAAGGCTGCCACAAAAGGGGAGTGAGATCAAATGCAATGGAGACAAGTGGAAATTTACCGCTAAGGGTTGCAGTGGTCCAAGTCGGAAGTCGCTGAGACATCAGGCATAGGAGGGCTCTTACGGAGACCGCATCACTGGATTCTTGCTGGAGGCAGGTAGGTGGCCAGCTATCAGGGTGGAAGAGAGGCCTCTCCACGGCCTGATTTGGGGATTTTGTTTCGCAGTGGTGGGTAGTAAACCAAGGGCAAATAGTCTACTGTTACCTCAAGACAATCTGTCTGAGGTCTAGCAAAGAAGTGTGGATACTTTTTGTTTGTTTTTTTTTTTTTTCGAGACAGGGTTTCTCTGTGTAGCTTTGGAGTCTGTCCTGGAACTTGCTTTGTAGACCAGGCTGGTCTCGAACTCACAGAGATCCACCTGCCTCTGCCTCCCGAGTGCTGGGATCAAAGGCATGTGCCACCACCAGTCTTGGATACTCTTATGAAGAGGATCCAGCAGACAAAAACAATTTGCCTGGGCCATGACAAGCCTGGAGCAGGGAACAGGGCAGCTGACACCTAGGTGCCATGAGGGTGAGAGTCCTAGGTTAGGAGCCAATTGAGTTGATTCTACATTCAATGGGTGCCCTATGCAGCTGTGCTGGGCCACCAGCAACCCCGGCACTACTTACAAGGTAAACTGCAAGGAACCTTTTCTTAACTGCCTTTTTGGTGTGTTTCTCTCTGTCTCTCGTCCCAGTGAAAGTCGGCCCTAGGAGGCTGTTCTGTGTGCTCCATGCTCAGTGAGCATTGGCCAGGCAAGGGTTCCTTGGAGAAAGCTAGAGCCGTGACCTTCAAAGCGATCAAGGGCGGGTCCCGGTGCCTGGATAGGTTCTTGAGGAGAGTAAGACTTTTAAGTGTGAAAACAGCCAGAAAGTGGCCGTGGGGGTGCGTTGGGGGAGGGCTATACTGTCACTGAACCTCTGCATGGGGGCATCAGGAGGTAATCAAGTGTAGCCAAGCGCAGTGTGAGGTTGGCACCACACCAGATACAAGGGTCATAACTGGCAACCTCCTGACACTGCACAAGAGGCCAGTGTTCCTCCCCCTTCACGGCAAAGGTCTGAGGCTCAGGAGCCTTGGCTACTCCTGGGATTCTAGAGGTCAACCTGCAAGAGGCCTGGGCGTCCATGCCGGAAAGATGCAAAGTACCAGTGAAGAGAGGTATGGGGGCGACGGGAGGTGCTCCCGGAAGAGGAGGCATCTTGTGCTGAAGAACAGACCATGCAGGCTCAGGAGAAGTTCAAGGTTGGACCTTGCCCAGGATCCAGGGTACCAAGGAAGAGCTTGGCAAATTTGGGTCTAAAAGACCCAGTTTCTGTCTGCCCTCAGCTTGTTTTGACTCCTCACCTTTAATCCAGACCCCATGGTTTATCTTCACCTCCCACCTACCTTTACCATTACCTTTCAGTGGCCACAGGGGTTTGCATCAGAGGCCTCTCTAGTCCCCATTCACAGGCCTGCCCTCTGCTGTTGGCTAACACCACCACCCCCCACCCCCCACCCCCCACCCCACCCCCCGCAGCCCATACCTTCTGTGAGCACAAAGACTTGACGCTTCTAAGTCCTGGCCCCGGCGAGCCCTTGCTGTACCCAGACCTATCCTGGACTTTGCTGGTTTCTTCCAGGCAGCCTGCCTTTGCTGTCTTGTGAGGCTCCTCAGCACACCACCTCCTATTACAGTCCCTGTTTTGGCCTCTCTCTATGCACGGAGGTCTCTATTCTAGCAGAGCAGGGACCGAGCTAAACTGTGCCCACGGGGCTTATCTTGGAAGGAAGACGAGTTGCCTGAATTACACAAACCCTGAGTAAGGACAGGGATGGGGGGGGGGGGATCCAGAGGGGTATTTTTAGGATGCTCCTAACTGGGGATCATCTCTGGTCACTTAAAAGGTAGGCCTGACTCTGAGCACGAATACTGTAGTCACTGGAGCATGCTGCTGAGCTCTGCGTGGCTACCTATAGTTCTGGAGTCATGAAGTGCTCCTACCAGGGAGGCATCGAGGGGGGTGCTGGGAAGCACACGCAAGTGCTGTGGGTAGTTGCCAAGGAACACCTCTTTTGGAACCCTGTGTTCTGACCGGACAATTGCAAGGTTTGGGCGAAACAACATGAACAAAAACCCTGTACCAGGTACCTATTTCCAGGTTGTGATTGATGCCCGCCCCCACTTTTTTTTTTTTTTTTTTTAACAGAGTCTTTGTAGCCAAGGCTGGTCTTGAACTTGTGATTCTGGGTCGGTTTGGTTCTCCTCTTGATTGCCATTTGCGGTCCATCTCCCCTTCTTGGACTCTTGGCTGGGAACAAAGGAATAAGCCTGTCAGACTCCACTGTCCCTACTCCTGATCCTGCTGGGTGTCCCCACGGGACCAGGGGTGGGTAGGATGTGGAGACAACTTTGTTTAAGTGCCTCCAGCTTTCCTGAGATAGGTTTGGGTCTTTTTTGTTTTGTTTTTCTAATCTGGGGTAGTTTTGTTGTTGTTGATGATTGGGTTTTTGAAACAGGGGCTTGCTATATAGCCTAAGCGGGTCATGAACTTGTCATCCTCCTGCCTCAGTCTTCTCAGTGCTGAGACTGCGGGTGTGTGCCACCACCTCTTGCTCAGGGGTAGATCATACCAAGCCTTTTTGAGATGGGACACTTTTGTCTTATCCCCCTGCCCTGGCCTGAGGCTAAGAAGGGTTGTCTCTGTTGTACTTTATCCCAGAATGTCCCAGGAGTCTCCATCACCACCATGGCCTGGGCTCCAGGTTGGCCACAGCCTCTGGGAAGGTCTCTGCTTTCCTGACTCTGGTCCTAGGGACCACAGCCTATAGCTCCTCCTTCTGGCCCTCTTGCCTCAGGATACGAACAAGGAAAAGTCACCATTCCAGGTCAGTCACAGAAGAGCAAACGGTACAAGAGAGTGACCACAGCTTTAGCTCACAGCTAGGCTTTAATTCCCAAGGGGGTGGGGGGTCACAGGGGCCACACTAGCCTTTCTCCTGCTTGGTTGTGGGAGGGGCTATGTTTAAGACTCTAGCTTTTTCTTTAGACACGCTCCTCCTTTCAAGTTTTCTGTGGCTTGAGATACTGTTGCCACTCCGGCCAAGCACCTGTTCCCCGAGTGTGCACAGTTCTGGGAGGCACAGGCCCCTGAGGGTGCAGCGTCTAGATCCACATATCCTCAGAGGTTTAGGTTTACAGTATCCAAAGCCATGAGGAATCGCTGCCAGCAGGAGCTCCAGAGACCTGGGCCAGGCTGCAGCTCTGGGATTAGAGTACAGCACTCCAGGTGGACCATTCAGGACCCACCTCAGCCATAACTGTGGGGGCTGCTGGGATCCACAGGAGCTGAGTCTCGCCGGCCAGCTGGCCGGACCAGCTGCCACAAGCGGTGACTGAGATTCTGCACTTGGCATGTGCCCAGGACACAGCCCACCCGCAGAAGCTGGGCATGAGGTCTTCGAGGTTCCAAGTGTCGCTGGGGACCTGGGTGTCGTGAGCCCGCACCCTGAAGCAGATGAACCATAGCAAGGGTCGGGTTGCCCCTTCCCTGTGGCTGGGGGGCATGATGAGGCTTCCAAACTACAGGCCGGAGTGAAGAGTGTCCAGGCTGCAGGCCACTGGAAGGAATCTTTGCTGGGGATTCTCTGTGGAAGCAGGAGGAAGCTGTGAGCACAGTGGCCGGGCATAGCCTCCCAAAGGCCCCTAATCCCACCTACTTCTCTACACAGTCTGAAGGCCCTGGCAGGGGAAGCCCACAGCTTCCCTAAAAGCCTGGCCTAAGACCAGGGGAAGCCCGAAATCTGACCCCCTGTCTCCGACCTGAAGACTAGGAGAGGAAGCCCATTACCCTTCTGAGCTTACTGGCAGCTTGGCCATCTCCATAGCCCAAGTCACATGTACCATTAGCAGATCCGCTCGGGGCAAAGGTCTCCAAAGCAGTAGGCTCTGAGGGCCACTGCTCTTAGAATTCAGAAAGACCTCCCTGGGTTCTTCCCCGAGAATGCCTCTGGTCTCCCTTACTCGAACAGACCTTTAGTCTAAGAGGCTATCCCACCCCCACCCCATCTCTGTCTCTGTCTCTGTCTCTCTCTCTCTCTCTCTCTCACATCTCTGTGTGTGTGTGTGTGTGTGTGTGTAGGGTGGGACTAACTACCCCAAGTAGAAAGAAGCAAAGGAAGAAAAAGTCCCCTTTCTTGCCTTTCTCAGGCAACACTGAAGCTAGGAAGGTGGCCCTTGATCTGGGAGATGAACTCTAGAAAACTTATGTCCCCACAAGGAGGCTGATCCACACCTGGTACTCACTCACCTGGGTCTGGAAAGCTTCAGTCCCCAGCTCAGGCTGCCAGACTGCGTGCCCGGGAGCAGGTAGAGGAGGCTGATGCAACCGAGGGTTACCGTGACCATCAGGAACTGGGCCATGGCGGGCTGGGCTGTGGAGGAAGAATGCGGTGAAGCCGGCAAATGGGGTGGAGGAGGGCAACTTCAGCCTGGAGTCAACCCTCTTCACCCACCAGTTGGAGAATTTTCAGCCCGGGGGCTCGGGGCGTGGGAAGATTGGTACCTGAGTCTGTTGTGGCACAGGTCTCGGATTTAGAGACAGCAGGCGGGGCTGGGGTCTGTTGGGAGATCCGGGAGCACTCAGTGGAACTCAGGTCAGGTCGTGGTCTCCTGGGCTAGTGCGCCTTCTGGGGTCCAGCGGAAGACCAGTTTGGGAGGCACTTCCAGCGCTAAGTAGGCTTTGAAGCTGAAGGCGGGGCCCGCCGCTGATGGGGCGGGGCGTTCTCCACCGGGGTGGGCTGCACTAGCCGAGCTCTCCTGGCAGCTACTCCTGCCCAGCAGGAACCAGTAGAGCCACAGGGGGGGATCACTTCGAGGGGTCCACCCCTGCTGGGAAATGCTCAAGAGCTGTCGAGGACCTCCTATCCTGACTCCTGTTACTTAACTCCTAACTTAAGTGTGCGACGAAGTCTCAGAGATGCGTGGGGCCCAATGACCCACCAGGCTGAAAGGTGAGTGCTGAAGTAGAGGTGTGTTCTGACCCCAAGGGCATCGACCTGTCACCTCTTCAGGAAAGGCAGGAGCATGACTTGGTTACCCAACATCCATCCCCAGGAGATAATGGCAGATTCCCGATGACTGCCAACTTGTTTCCCAAGACAGGTGTCTTCTCATTATCAAATACTGTAATATAAGTACAAAGTGAGGCCCCCACCACAGCAGTATTCTTTCTGGGTGAGAGACTCGTTCCTCTAATCTGCACACAATATTCTCTGTATGTGTTACACACACATGCACAAACGAGTAATATGTGTAAGTATGTGTAAGCATAAAGGCACTCTTTCTCATGGTTGGGCATGCATGATGAGCCACCACCGCCCGGTGTACCTACCACCTGGCATGAGCTGCGTTTTTTCAGCCTTTTTTCCTGTTGTGGTTGGTACTGGAGAGTGAGCCAGGCAAGCACCTACCACAATGACCTTATTTGCCTTTGTGTGTAGGTTGGGTCTCCCTAAGCTGCTCGGGACCCTCTGTAGCCTAGGGAGGGCTTCAACTCAGAGTCTTCCTGTCTCTGCTTCTTGAACAGCTGGGATTGCAAGTCTGCACCCTGAGCTAGCAAGCAGTTCTTCTCCTTCTCCTTCTCCTTCTCCTTCTCCTTCTCCTTCTTCTTCATCTTCTTCTTCTTCTTCTTCTTCTTCTTCTTCTTCTTCTTCTTCTTCTTCTTCTTCTCCTCCTCCTCCTCCTCCTCCTCCTCCTCCTCCTCCTCCTCCTCTTCCTCCTCCTCCTTCTTACTTGTTTTTATTAAACTTCAGTGTACAAAATCATGGATTTCATTATGACAACCATCTACCCATAGTGGATTATGTGCCAGTGGTTCTCAGCATCTTTGTCAGCCTGATGGACTTAAAAAAATACCTCTAACACTGCCATAAGCATTTCTCTTCCTGAACGAACATTTCTGTGTCCATCTGTGTCTCCTCTTCTGTCTCACCCTGTCCCTCTGTGGGGCTTCCCCGGGGACTTGGTCACTCTGTCCCTCCTGCTGAACACACATGGATGCTCAGTAAACATTTGCCAGATGAATCCATCAAAGAGTGTTGAATGTAGGCCATGCTGAAGATCTGCTTTACCTCCTGAGGGAAATTTTAGCAGATAATCACCTATTTGCTTATTTCCATCAGTTGTGGGAAGAGTGGTTTCGTTTATGTTAGAAAAGAACATTGCTGAGCATGGTGGTCCCTATCTGTGAACCCAGCGCTCAGGAGGTAGGGGGAATCATTAGTTTAGGACTAGCCTGCGCTACATAGTAAGACCCTGCCCCCACCAAAAAAAGAAACAAACCAAGGCCTGGGAATGGACCTTTGTGGTAGAGTCCTTTTTTATGTGTGCAAGGCCCTGGAGTTCCTTTACAACCCCTTCAAAAATAAAGAGGTGACTCTACCACAAATAAACATGGGGCTGAGGTAGGTGCTAGGGAGTCTAGAAAGAAGGGACGCTGGGGTCACAGAACAGGCAGGTCAGAGCAGAGAGAAAGTAGACAGGGGAGTGAAGGAACGGGAGGTTGAAGGTCTGTACACAGCCCTTCTGTTCGGTGGTGCAGAAAGCTGTGGAAGAGACTGTAAAAGAGGCTACAGTGTGGACATGCCCAGGCTAAGCCGCCTGTGGCTAGAGGTGTCTGTCCAGGAGGCCTCCAGTCTGGTGGACCTACGCTGGAGGGCAGGCTGGAACAGTCTTGGGTCTTCAGGGATGGTTAGGCTCTGAGAACTATTGTAAGTGTCATCCAAGGGAATGAAGAGACGACAGTGTGACTGAGTACGGAATCAGTGTGCCAGCTCTCAAGGGACAGCAGGGCAGAGGCAAGAGGACGCTGCTGAGACAGACTCGGCTCTTCAGCTGTGCCTCCCTCTCCAGCCGGGCTCCACCTTCAGTGTGTCTCCACGCTGCTGCTGGCATTGCCTTTCAAGCTACGAATGCCATCATGTTATTCACCCACCAGTAAGTACAAAATACATTCCGTGAGCTGGCAAGATGGCTTAGTGGATAAAGGCACTTGCCACCAAGTTTAATAACTTGAGTTTGATCCCCAGAACCCACACAGTGGGAGCACTGACTGCTCTCTTCTGACCTCTACACACATGCCATGGCACAAATAAAAAACTTGGTAGTAATACAATTTTTGGAAAATATCTCTTGTATTCAAAGAGGCTGAACTTTTGTTGGACCTTAAAGTTAATAATATGCCTTGAGATCACTTAAGGCTTTTTTTTTCTGTTTTTTTTAAAATGATTTATTTTTATTTAATGCATATTGGTGTTTTGCCTGTGGGTATGTTTGAAGGTTATCTGATCCCCTGGAACTAGAGTTACAGTTATGTGCTGCCATGTGGGTACTGAGAACTGAACCTGGGTCCTCTGGAAGAGCAGCCAGTGCTCTTAACCACTGAGCCACCTCTCCAGCCCCACAGCCCCCCTTTTCCTTTTGTTGGTGTTGGGGTTTTTTGTGTGTTTGTTTGTTTTTGTTTTCTTTGAGACAGGGTTTCTCTGTGTATCTCTGGCTCTCCTGAAACTCACCTGCAGACCAGACTCGCCTGGATCTCCGCCTGCCTCTGCCGCCTGAGTTCTGGGATTAAAGGTATGTACTACCACCTAAGAGCACTTGAGACTTAACCTGCTATCCTACTGAGAACTCCTTACTTTTTTTGTTTTGAGACAGGGTCTCACTATGTAGCCCTGTCTGACCTGGAACTCACAGAGATCTGCCTGCCTCTGTCTCCTAAATGCTAGGATTAAAAGCCCTGTTAATATATAACCTGCCTTTGGCCAGGCAGTGGTGGCACATGCCTTTAATTCCATGCTTCTGACCCAGAGTAATGTATGTGTTGTAAACATTTGCTGAAAACAGTCATCAGTTCAAAGCAACCTTATACTATAAATATCTAATATAATTGTTGTAAATATTGTGTGGATATAGGTTGATAGCATTTGTTTGCAGTTTTTGTTTACTATTCTGGCTAGTTGGGAATAGTAATGTTTCTTCCTTGTAAAAACTCTTTACTATTTTAGTAAAGAGCACCTCATTCCTTCCCCATGTGATTGACACTTTCTGTGTTCTTCAATAAATACAGAGCAAAGCCCTTTTTCAGGGACAGATGGAAGATACAGGAAGAGAAGTAGAGAATTCAAACTTGAGTTTACTCTTGGTCAAACTAATCCAAGAGGAAGTCTGTGTTTTCCTTCCTTAATGCATTAACTAGTACACTTAAAAAAGAAAAAAAAAAACACCAGCATTTAAATTCTCTGTTCTTATCAATGTGGTTTTTTTTGTTGTTGTTTTTGTTGGCTTTTGTTGTTATTGTTTTGAGAGGGAATCTCACTATGTAGTCCTGGGTAGCCTGGAATTTCTGATGTAGATAAAGATGTCCTCAAACTCATAGAGATCCACCTGCCTCTGACTCCCATATGCTTGAGTAAAGGAGTGTGCCATCGTGCCCAGCCTGTCTTGTCAGGGTTTTGTGTGTGTGTAATATTTAAAGTTTTTTATTACATGTATTTATGTGTGTGTGTAGTGAGCCACAGTGCACATGGAGAGGTCAAAGGACAACTGGCAGGAATCAGCTCAGCTCTCTACTTCTATCATGTAGATCCTGGGGATCAAACTCAGGTTATAAGGCTTGTTGGCAAGCATTTTTACCTACTGAACCAGCTCACAAGCCCTTTATTGTTTTTTTTTGTTTGTTTGTTTGTTTGTTTTGTTTTTCGACCCACAGGTTGAGGACTGCTGCTTTAGAGAAATTTTCTTAGGGTAAAAAGGGTAGCAACTTCATCAAGAGATATTTTTTAAGGTGTAAATTTGAGGTTTTATCCTGATGGCAAGGGTTTTGAAGACAGGAAAAGACTGGGTGTGGCAGGGGAACTGATAGGGAGCAGTGGGAAGTGGATAGGTAGGTGGGAGGGGCAGGTGTCTCTGGAAGGAGGGTGGGGATAGATGGGCAGGTTTAGGGTCTATCATATTATGGGTATGCTTTTTTTTTTTTCTAGGAAAAGTCAACTCAAGCAGCTGACCATATCTGAGACAGAGGAAGTAGAATCAGAAGAGAAAGACCAAAAGACAACTGTACATATCAGCAGGCCAGGGGAGTATGTTTGGGGAGTGCCCATCCTTCACGGGCTAGGACCACTGTGTCACTGTGGGTCAGTCTACTCTATAGGGGCATCCATCCATCTCAAGTTGAGATAGTTGTGTCATGATGGGTTCCCTCTGCTTTCTTAGGTCTGCCTGCAGGATATAGATGGTTAAGATGGTACATGACTGGGTTAGACATGAACAGTGAAAAACGAAGGCAGCCGTTTGCAAGATGACAAGCATTTGGAGGCCTGCATAAGTGTAGTGGTTGGGTAAAAGAACAGATGGAGGGAGCCAAGGAGCCTATGGGATAAAGAGAGTGTCTTCTTGGAGGAGGTCTGACTGGTTGAAGAAGGGAGGATCTGAGGAGACTATAGGCCCTTGAGGAGAAGAGGCCAACAGCAGGTGACCTGGGAAATGTAATGGTCAGGCACTCAACTTAGTGGCAAGAGACTTGAGGATAGATTGGAAATGACCTTTGCCGGGATCAGGGTTCTTTTAGGTAAGGAAACAGGGCCTGGTGGATATGGGAGCCATAGGGTACAGGGCCCTAATAATTTCTAAGAGAGCCAGCCCGGGGTTCAAGCACCAAGTCAAACTTGCCAGTCACCATTTCTTCACTTAATGGTGTAGAGAGGAGTTTTAGTGATTGACAGAAGTCAACTTGAGCAAGTTCAGACACATGTTAAGCAGAAAGGAAGATGTCACAGCCCATATCACCTGGCAGTGGCAAGGGAGAGCTAGGACTATGTCTCTGTGCATAGAGTGTTCCTGGAAGGCTTCTTCATCCCCCTCTTTTAAAAAAGACAGTTTCATTTTATGTGCTTTGGTGTTTTCCCTGCATGTATGTCTGTGCACCGCGTACAAGCAGTGCTCCTGGTTACCAGAAGAGGGCGACAGATCCCCTGGAATCACAGTTAAAGATGGTTGGGTGCTGGGAACCCAGCACAGGTCCTCTGCAAAAGTAAGTGCCCTTAACTGCTAAGCTAATTCTCCAGCAGGCCCTCGTGCCCTGTTTATTGTTTTGTTGTTGTTTGCTTGTTTTTTTGACACAAGGTTTCCCAGTGAAGCCTAGGAGGCTGGATTGGACGTCACGATCTACCTGCTTCCCCCTCCCAAGGGCTAGATTATACACCTACACCACCAACTGGACTTCTCCCTCATTCTTGAGTTTGGTTTCAATTCATTCTCCAGATCCTGCAGGTGGAGGAAACAGGATGCTAGTAGGTAGCTTGTCTTTCAGTTCCCACAGAAACTAAATTCATCTACACAAGCCCCGCCCTCCCCTTGGACCTCCCTGGTCAAAGACTTTGCCTCTCCTACAGTGCCCAGCCCCGTTACCCATGTCACTGCTAGAGGTCTGGCTAACCCCCTGACCTCCAGGGTGGTCTGACCTGCCAGGAAGGTGACACACGCTGTGACATGCTGCAAATGTTT